GGAAGGACTGGACACTTCTTCTCCCCTTGAATATCACTTTATGCTCCACCTTTTAACCATCTGTACCACTTCTGGCCCCTACCCGGAATTCTTCCATGAGTTTGCGGATGGATTTTCCTCTCCCACCAATGATACGGGCGTGGACTCGGTGATCCAGACGAATGTCCTCACTGACCATCTCCTCCAAGTCAGCAACGATTTTAAGGATGGCATCCCGGGCTCCTTCAGCATTTTTCTCATAACCAGTGATTGTGATAAGGTCCTAAAGTGGAAGGCAGGACATTGATTGAACTTGATTGACACATAGCCAAATAACAGGGCATCTCGGGTGAATCACTATTTGTTTCTGCTTGCTGGATACCAGAAGCCCCCATAGCCGTTTTCACATGCCTCCTGAAAATAGGTGCATTTTTGTTCCGCATCCAAAAAAAGCATCTCTTTTCAGCCCACTGGCGACAATGGGAACTTATGAGGCTCCCCGCTCCCCTTTCCCCTGGGAGTCTTTCCTTTCTTCCCTTCAAGGGAGCCTGGATATCAGCAACGGGGCTAAGAAAGCACCCTATCCAGCCCATTATGGGTAGGGGACTTCTCATGGACTCCCCTTCCATATATTTCATTAAGACCTAGATTTAAAAAAACATCAGATTTAAGATACCACTCTTTCTGGATCCTTTCCCTTCTGTTAGTAGAGGAGACCTGGTTTAATGCTTCTTAAAGTTGTTTCTACTCTAGAGGAGAGTCAGGCACACACACTTACTCTCCCCAGCAGCAGCCACACAGTTTTAGGCATTTTAGGTAGGAACAGTGATGACCTGGAGCTCAGTGGAGCTATCTTCCCTGGACTACCTTAAAAATCCCCTCTGCTTTCTCTACTGCCTGCAATCTCCTTTCTGCTTGGGCTATTGCTTACTTAAAGCTGTTTCTACTTTCTACTCTAGAGGAGAGGTAGGCTTCTCTTTTTGTTTGCTGAAATTACTATTATTAATAATAATTATTATCTTTTAGAAGTATTTTCTGAAGGAGAGGAAAGGAAGGGGAAAAAAACCCTAAAAGGGTGACTCCCTAAGCTCCCAAACGCGCATGCGCACACACCACCCACTGTCCCTCAGGTCCCCAACTCCCAGGCAGTCCCACTAAATAAAAAGAATCGGGAAAATAAAGGAAAACCAAAAAGATTCAACGGTGATGCTGAACAGGGGAGGAGGAGCTGTGACCGGTTGCCACATAGTGCCTTTTCGGATGGGAATCCATGGTGGATGGATCCTTGCTGTTTCGAGCACCCGAACAAAGCAGAGAAGCCAGATTGGCCAAAGGAAGGGCTAAAAACAGATCCGGGCTCAAGTCTACTAAAACCCAAAACTTCACATGTCTTCTAAAAGGAAATGATTGACAGATAAGCCCTGAAGGATCTAAAGTTCTTAAAAGATCTTTTTAAAAAGGTCAAACTTTTCTATTCACTAACACATTAGAGACTGAGAGAAAGAAGTTGGTACTATAAGTCTACCTACTGAGATGCATGTGAGGAAGCAGACTTGGTCTACGTTACCAATGTCTTTCTCGCAGTTAGTCTCCAAACCCTTTACAAACTGACAGTCCACATTAACATGGCTAGGGTCTTTGAATTCTACTTTTTTTCTTTTCACGTGAGAGAATGTTTTATCTATACTTGAACTTCACTCATTTTCTTTGGAACGACTCAGGGAATGCCCAACAGCTACCTGGACATTAACCATCAAGTGGTTTTACCAGAAAGAACAGGTTGGATTTCCCGCAGTCTTGAAAAAGAAAGGTCAGATCTAATTTTGAAACCAAGCCCTTGTTTTGTCCAATAGAAAACCAGTCCAGGATTAATGTTGAAATGACCTTTGGCCACCTTTGCTCTGTAACCAGTCTACCCACACCCCGGGGACAATGACTCCACAACTGAAGGTGACTGATTCTCCCACCTGATTCTCATCTCCTTTGTCCGGGAACTGGATGGTGACATCG